AGGATTATTTTGGAATGTCCAATTGGAAGTTTTTTGTATGATTTGAACTTTACATTAACGATGATAAGTTGGCCTGTTTTAGTTGATTCTCTATTTCTCTCTCTCTCTCTTTATTTATTTATTTTTAAATTTTAAACATTGAAGCTGGTGAGATGCTACATGTTGCCGAAGCCTTCATTGAGAAAAACTATCATCCAACTGTCATTTGCCGGGGTAATTTGCTCTTCTCCATTAGTTGTCATTCTGAATATCGATCATGATGTGATCCTTACGAACTTGAATTTTTTCTGTTGTAGCATATAATAAAGCTTTGGAGGATGCACTTGCTGTCCTTGATAAAATTGCGATGGACATTGATGTTGAAGATCGTAAGTTACTTGAATGTCTTTTTTACCTTTGAGCTATCTAAGGATTGAAATGCCTGCCACATAATCATGTCTATCGACTTAGACACCAGATTTTGTAATTACTAGATATCATAACCAGGGAAAAGATTGATTCTTCAGTACATTTCCTCTGGAAAAATTACTGGTTTTTCGCTTTCCCATAGAAGTAAGTGTGGCATCTATTGTAATAATCTGTACTTTACTAATGAGTATCATGCGGCAGGCACTGCTATGTTGGGGCTGGTTAAAAGCTGCATAGGTACCAAGTTCACTAGTCAATTTGGAGATTTGATTGCTGTAAGAATCTTAATCCCTTTGCCTTGTTGACATTGTCGTGCAATTTATTTTGTTTGTATATTTCTATCGTATTTATGAATTATGATTAGAATTTGGAATGTGCTTCCACTTTGTTACAGAGATTTGTGGATTAGTTGCAGAAGACAACTTAAAATGTGGATGGTTCCTTGATCTACTAGTTCTAAAAAGGATGCCAGGTCTTTAGATTCAATAGTAAAATTTTTAGGAGGAACTTGTTTCTATCTGTTGCTAAATTTTATTTTCATTACGCAAAATATCTTAGACTCTTAGTTGTGTAGAGGCAATTAAATCTAATTTCTAGATAGTCTTAAGTTTCCTTGTGCAAATTTCATTTTTTTACCTGTTGATGAATTTATTCTCATTTTTCAAAATATCTTAGTTGTGTATAGGCAGTTAGAATCTTATTTGCAAGTTGTGTAAGTTTTACATTGCGGCTTTCATTTTTCTTGATGAAAGCTAGCTTTTTCATAGAAAATGGGGTTTTGTAGTGCATCTTAACTTTTATTATTTTGAGGGTCTTAAGTATCATAGATTAAAGAACGTCTAAGCTGGTTGAGTTGATTCCCAATCCCCACCCAGATGATAACTTGATGAATGTTGAGGTTTTGTGTATTCAGTGCTGTTATTTATCAACTTGCAGGATTTAGCAATTGATGCAACCACAATTGTTGGTGTTGATCTTGGCCAAGGATTACGCGAAGTAGACATCAAGAAGTACATAAAGGTTGAGAAGGTTCCAGGTGGTCAGTTAGAAGATTCTAGGGTTCTTAAAGGAGTGATGTTCAACAAAGATGTTGTTGCCCCCGGAAAAATGAGAAGAAAGATTGTCAATCCACGTATTATTCTTCTTGACTGCCCCCTTGAGTACAAAAAAGGTGAAAACCAGACAAATGCTGAGTTGGTTAAAGAAGAAGATTGGGGAATCCTGCTGAAAATGGAAGAAGAGTACATAGAGAATATCTGCGCACAGATAATCAAATTCAAACCTGACTTGGTTATCACAGAGAAGGGCCTCAGTGACTTGGCATGCCATTATCTGAGTAAAGCTGGAATCAGTGCAATTAGGAGGTTGAGGAAGACTGACAATAATAGAATAGCTAAGGCATGTGGTGCTGTAATTGTGAACAGACCTGACGAGTTACAGGAATCAGATGTCGGCACTGGTGCTGGATTATTTGAAGTTAAGAAAATAGGGGACGAGTTCTTTTCGTTTATAGTGGATTGCAAGGATCCAAAAGCCTGTACTATACTCTTGAGGGGTGCCAGTAAAGATCTTTTGAATGAAGTAGAAAGAAATTTGCAGGTAATTTAACAATGTGATTTTTGTTGGGATGATTTTTTTAATCTTTATTTAATAAATTAATTTTTCCATTATTTTATTTTCTTGATTCAGGATGCCATGTCTGTTGCAAGAAACATAATAAAGAATCCAAAACTTGTTCCTGGGGGTGGTGCTACTGAGTTGACCGTATCTGCTACACTGAAGCAGAAGAGTTCTTCTATTGAAGGCATAGAGAAGGTAATCTTTAATCCTTCTCAGGAACGAGTTGTTCGTTCTACTATTGAAATGTTGAATATTCGTAACTAAAAACCTGGTGGCTGCCTGCCAAAGCTTTTATGGCTAAATTGCAAATTTCTTATGAAAGATATATGCTTGAAACAGTGGCCTTATGAAGCTGCTGCCTTAGCTTTTGAAGCCATTCCGCGAACTTTGGCTCAGAATTGTGGGGTGAATGTAATACGAACAATGACAGCATTGCAAGGAAAGGTATTGAACATTTTGTGCAAGACAAATACATGATATGATGGAGGCTTCATTTCTGAAAATCATAATGTGTGATTTTTCTGGTTTCCTGCCACTTTTTTTATAGCATGCCAATGGTGAAAATGCATGGACAGGCATAGATGGAAACTCTGGTGAAATCACTGACATGAAAGAACGCAAGGTATCATCTCCTTATATTCTGTTCGGATTGAATAATAAATTCAGAAAAAATTTATGCCAAGGAATTCTATTTTGTCTCTTATATCTCGTGTTGTGATGATTGCGGCCTTTTGCACTTTTATGATGTTCGTGTTGTTATCATCAGATCTGGGACGTGTATAATGTGAAGTCTCAAACTTTTAAGACAGCCATAGAAGCTTCCTGCATGCTGCTGAGAATAGACGACATTGTTAGCGGTATTAAGAAGAAGCAGGCACCGGGGCAAGGTCCATCGAAGCCAAAAATCGAGACGGAAGCTGATGCAGACAATGAGCAAATTCTCCCAGAGTAAATTTTTGGTTGAGTCAGTTTTATTAGCTCTACAATGGTGTTTCTTCAAGCTTGCGATTCGGGTGCGTTCGATTCTTCAGAACTTTGGCTTCTTGTGGTTTTTCGTAGGTTGGGCTTCTGAAATATGGTTTAGCGGATGAATACAATTTTGTTACCACCGTTTTGTTTCAGATTAGTGATCTAAAATTTCAATTAATACCTGGGATGATGATGATTCCTGAAATCAAACTTATCTTAATTTTCTTCTTTGTTTTAATATGTTGAGAAATGAGAACTTTTTTAGTACAGAATAGAGTTGAGAACTTGGTTTTATTTGTTGTAGATATGAGAAGCTTATTAATTTGTCATGATCCGTGAGGTCAACCTCGTCTTAAACCGAAAAGATTTCACATAGTACTTTTAATTGAATCTTTTGCTCAATGAAAAAGTTGATCCGAGTTCGATAAGTAGGATTTCTTCTATTCTCTTTTTATTTGAGAATTGAAACACTTTTTACATACTTAATGTTATTATTTTTTCCCTTTTCTCTTGTATCATATCAATAGTTAACTCAATCAAATAAAAAAGAAATATAATCATCTTTCAGAACAAAGAGAAAATTATTAGGCTCAATATTTCAAGTTTTATCAGTGTTTTGTCTTTTATTAAAGTAGTTTTTTCTTTGCCAAATTATTTGAGGCTTAGGCATTTTTTGAATCCAATGGTAGTAGAGTAGATTTATGGGCTTTAAAGGATGGAATTACTACAAGAATTTAGATTCTAAGGGTATAGTAATTATCTATGTTTTTCGTTTCTCGTTTTTAAGAATGCATTACAAAATTATACATAAATATTTTTTTTTTCGATTTTGTTCAAAACATACCTAAAGACATTATTTTACTTTTTTTAACTTATAAAATACATGATAACTATTAAAAAAACAAATATAACATAAATAAGAAATAGTTATCAAATCAACTCTTATTTTTATTTATTAAAAATACATGAAACATGAAAAAAAGGGGAAACGAGAAATAAGATATTTCTTTTATCCCTTTCAAGGGATGGTAAAATAAAATAATATATTTAAGATAACTGTGTATTTAGAACATTTTAAAAACTTTTTGTAAGGTTTTGAAATCTAGCAACCAAAGAGAACTATTCTTCAAAATGTTTACTTTAAAATTCTTGTTTTTGGTTACTTTAAAATTCTTCTTTCAACTTGATTGATGATGTACAAACTAGCATTAGATCTTATGGACCTAGAGATTATCTAATACAACTATTCAAAATTAACTAATTAATTAAACTGTTCCTAAAGGATAGCATGAGTGGCTTGAGGCTCTTGTTTTGATTCTACATATTGTTCATTTTGAACTAAAAATAAACTTTTTGGTGGAATAGTGATGTTATATATAATATCCTCACTCTCAATAGTGACATACTAGTCTATATAATAACATAACAAAACGAGCATAGCTCAGTGGTAATTGATATATATCTCCAACCAAGAGGTTGTGAGTTCGATCTCCGCCTCCACATGTACTAAAAAAAACATAAAAGTTACCAAACGCTACCTTGGGAACTAAGTAAACCGATTTAAAATAAAAAACAAAAGATGTAATTTACTATTGGAATAAGGAGTTGCTAATTTAAAATAGATTTAAATACCCAAAAGAAATGAGATAAAAACCAAAAGGAACCAGAATCGAAACCGAAGATATAAGAGCCAAAAATAGTATTTAAACCTTTGAAATAACATTCTTCTATCTTCTATTTTTGAAAATATGACTTGTGTTCTAATATTGTTAGATGATATTTTGATAATTGAAAGTGACACCTTTTCATCAAGGAGTTTCATAACTCAATAAATCAAAATCCTTTACCTAAAGATGTAGGACAATTACACTATTTAACCTTCTCAAGCCAAGTAATGTGAAGGATCTACTAATAAAGTGACCAAGTAGACAGTCGGCCGTGGACATCCCTGAGTATGGGAGAGCAAAACTCAAACTTCCAATTACGGAAAAAAAAAAACAAAATCAAACGAAAGAGCAGTTTGATTACGAACCAGTGATAAGTCCAACTACTTTTAAGAGTGCTATAGAAACTTTGCAATACCTTATTTATACTTGACTTTACATTACACACCTTCAGCAAACTACTAGTTTTCTTTAGCAAAGTGTCAAAGGACTTTCCAGGGTGAATCTAATTGGCTTTACAGATAATTGATTGAGTTTTGCAATATTGAAGATGTCAGGTGTAATGGCAGATATAATAACTTCAAACGTAACTATCTATTAGTGACTTCCTCATCTCGTCAACAATGGAACTTGGTTGAGCCTCCCTCAATTTGAAAACGCTCTCGATCACTGACAACTCGGTTGCAGTGGTGTCCGAACCACAAAATGCAGTCCAGTCATTTGCTGTTAAGCCAGCAGCAATCACTTCACTGCCACGGTTCACAGTTCCAGCCACTAAAGGGACCTGAAGAAGGGTTGATAGTTCGTCCAAATCTTCAATAGACGTATGAGGATGAACCTGAAGAAAGATTGCACAAACCAGGTTTCAGAGAACTTATCATATGATGCTAAAAGAAGTTTATTATGGGGTTACACTTGGTTAAAAAAGAACAGAGGGTGAGAATTACCAAGCCACCCCTATTTGTGAAGCTACAGTAGCTTCCCACGAGAACATTACCGGCTACCGTCTGCCTAAAGACCTCTACTCCAAGAACATCAGCAATGAGCTCCTCAGTTTCCTGATCAACGGGAGACCATGTTTATTCTTAGTAGAAAAGGAAGAATGAAAGAGAACTAAAGCAGTCTAAAGTTCCATTGTATAATTTTCAAGAAGATTAATTAAAGAAAGACACTCCGCAGGATGTGTCCGTATTCCATAAGATATCTAATCCTTATATGATGTGTTCTGACACTGACACTCAATTCAGAAAAGGACACCCACATTGCTCAAAAGAAGAGAGCCACTGCTTCCTAGGTGGGTGTAAGTTCTTTAATTAAACACATAGATATGAAATGTCCAAAGTGGGAAGGTTTCATTTAAATTTCTACCAAGTCCGAGAAGCAGAATTTAAGTGGGGAAGATAAGTAAAAATACCCGGTCAAGATCGGTATGTGTAAGAGCAACATGATCATTACAAGCAATTGTATTCCCTAAAGCAGACAGTCTCTCTTGTATACGTTGAACAACAACTTGGTCGGGTAGACTGTTCCTCAAGTGTTGAAGTTCTTCAAAATGCAAAGAATAGGAACATAATCTCAATTAATTAATTTCGCAATACACATCATCACATGTTAAGAGAAATTAGAGAACATCTAGAAGAGTTTCGTAAAAGACAGAACAAACAAAATCACAAATTATATAATGATGCATATGTGAGGTATCCCCTCGTCCGACTTTGATTGAAAACAAAATAAGAGCCCTAAGGCGATACAGAGCAAGAA